AAGAAAGTGGGGAATGTTTCTCTCAACACAACAACTAGGTAAAGATATCCCTGGGTGCTAGGCTTGGGCGATCAAGAAAAAAATTGGTTCTAAACTCGTTTCGTTTCTAGGGTGCGCTAGCGTTTCGAAATTCTGAGGACTTCCGAAATTTAAGATTTCAAAATTTCGAAATTTCCAAAATTTCGTAAATTACGAATCGATTCGTTAATGGCGGATGCGATTGCGCAATATGCTAAAAAAACCTCCAAATGGGACAGGGGGAACTTCTGAAGCTTCCCTCTCCCTCTGTTGTTGACTGTTGGTGTGATAAAACAAACAACAACTATATTATATTATATTATATTATATTATATTATATTATATTATATTATATTATATTGTTGTATATTATATTATAATATTATTATATTATATTATTGTATATTATATTATATTATTATATATTATATTATAAATTATTATATTATATATTATTATAATATATATATATATATATATATTAATATATTATATTATATATATTATATTATATATTATTATATTATATTATAATATTATTATATTATATTATTGTATATTATATTATTATTATATATTATATTATATATTATATATTATTATATTATTATATTATAATATATATTATATTATAATTAAATTATAATATAATATAATAATAATATAGTAATATAATATAATAATATAATAATATAATATAATATACAATACAATGCACCAGACATACGAAAATAATTACGAAAATTGGAAAAAATTGTTTCGATTCTTAATTACTCCTCACACCATTCCTGCATGGCTCGATATAAATTTAAATATGAATCAATAACGAATAACGAAATTAGCTAACTGGATCGCCCAAGCCTACTGGGTGCATCTACTCAATAGAATTAACACAGTTTGGTACCACTTCAACTGCCTTGGCTCAATGCTATGGAATAATGGGAGTTGTAGTTGAATGAGGCTGTTGTAGTTCAGCCTGTGATTGTGTCTGTTCATGATGGGCATGAGGATTTGTCTAGGCCTGAGTTACGCTCAAACAAGAGGCCCGAGGTGTCTCCTGCAGATTCACAAGGTCACATTCCTGGGAGAGGCCCTCAACAGTCTTTCTCTGAGAAACTGTCTTCTGAAGTTGAATTGTCAAGTGAAGAATTGAATGAGAGTGAAGACAGAAGGCAAGACTTTTGTAAATAAGTGTTGGAGTTCAGCCTGGGTGTGAACCTGAACCTGCTTCTCTGATTGTATTTTCTGATGCTACTGAAAATGTATTTTCTGATGCTCCTGATGCTAATGAAAATGTTGATTCTGAGGTCAGTGTAGAAGAAACTCCTGCAGGCTTGGAAGGCTTGGAAAGTGAAAGTACACAATCTCCTGAGAATGTTTCAGGGTCAAGCAGTGATAGCTCTCCAGAGAGGCTAACACCTGGGATCCTTAATGAGGATAGAAGAGGACAGATTTGGAAAAACAGGAGTGAATCGCAGAGTCTGCGAAGGTCAAGCAGATTAAAAGAAAAAGAAACAAGGGCTTCAAAGCCTGGAGGCGTGTCATGAAACAGTTTCCTCGGCTTTAAGTGCTTCTCACCGGGTTGACTCTTTAGATCAGGCATCGTTTTAGACTGAGACATTACTTTGGCAGATATCCCATTTCCCGTGGCCTTCATCCCAAGAGGCTTCTAGTGCTCCAAGTACGTTTAGTGGATTGCTAACAGGTTCCAGGCTTTTACAGTGTTGCTTTTGGTTTTTGATCTAGTTCATGGATATTTGTGATTGCTGATTTTTACTGTGGCTTTTTGACTTTGCATTATCCTCTATTTTGTAACCATTTTTCATCAATAAAAAGGGATTGTTTTTCCCACAGTCAAGTGTGGTGGATTGTTATCTTAGGGTCTCGTTTCCTGCTCTGGGTTTCAACAATAAGAGACATAGTTCCCAAGGACATCAGGCATGCCCCAACATTGGCAGTCTTTAGGAGGAGCCTGAAAACGTGGCTGTTCCAGTGTGCCTTCCCGGAATAAGGAAAAATTCCCAGCAATATGTCCTCAGAATGCACTTTACTATTGGATTGGGTTGGACTGCGCTCCCTCATTTCTTTTAAAACCCTATACCAGATATATCCTACCTTGTTCATGCCCAGCGTTTATTTTTTAAATTTTAAACTATTATCTTTGGCCATAGGTTTTTAAATCCTTGTGTGTTATTGTTTATATGTGATTTATATTAACTGTATTGTATTGTTTTTGTTTATTGCTTTTTTGTTTTTATTGAAGTGTTGTTGGGCTTGGCCTCATGTAAGCCGCTCCGAGTCCCTTGGGGAGATGGTGGCAGGGTATAAATAAAGTTATTATTGTTGTTGTTGTTGTTCTCAGGCACATCATAGGTTAATTCCTTTGCAAGAAAAGAAAGATAAGAAACCCTTATCTGGTTGTAAGGGCAAGAGAAATGCTTTCCTTTCGATTCTGGGGACAGGAAAAGCTTTATATTGATACATGGGAAAGAACTGCCTCAGTCTGGTCAACGTTGGATTTTCATGATGGTCTTGCTTCCAAGTGTTCCTAGTTTCATGTGCCAAGTTTATCTGTATATTGATCTGTATATTGGATTTTAATGTTGCCTTATTTTATGGATTTTGCACCTTTGATTCTCCTGTATTACCTTATGCCTTGAGGTTCATGGATTATTCCAGAGGTCCTCAAACTTTTTAAACAGAAGGCCAGATCACAGTCCCTCAAACTGTTGGAGGGTCAGATTATAATTTGAAAAAAAAAAAAGAATGAATTCCTATGCACACTGCACATATCTTATTCGTAGTGCAAAAAACCCCACTTTAAAACAATACAATAATTAAAATGAGGGACAATTTTAACAAATATAAACTTATTAGTATTTCAATGGGAAGTGTGGCCCTGCTTTTGGCTGATGAGATAGGATTGTTGTTGTTGTTGTTGTTGTGTGCTTTCAAGTCATTTCAGACTTCGGTTGACCCTGAGCAAGGGCCGGGTAAATGACCTTGGAGGGCCACACCCGGCCCTTAGTTTGAGGACCCCTGGTCTAAGGCATCTGGCAAATATCATGACCCGTACCAAGAAGGCTTATCGTAAGATTAATGAGCCTTGCTATCAAGAGGCTTCTTCAGGAAGAACTTATCTTAAGATGGATGAAAGTTTTTGCTATCAGTAGACATTCTGGCACTATGAGTTACAGCAGTGGTTCTCAACCTGGGGTTCCCAGATGTTTTTGGCCTACAACTCCCAGAAATCCTAACAGCTGGTAAAATAGCTGGGATTTCTGGGAGTTGTAGGCTAAAAACATCTGGGGACCCCAGGTTGAGAACCACTGTTCTAGATGCTACACTAATAAGCAGCTCTTTAGATAAAGGTGCTTAATGGAACATTAAAGGTGTTGAAGTTAAAATATGCTATTGGGAAGTTGTTGTTGTTCATTCGTTCAGTCGTCTCCGACTCTTCGTGACCTCATGGACCAGCCCAGGCCAGAGCTCCCTGTCGGCCGTCACCACCCCCAGCTCCTTCAAGGTCAGTCCAGTCACTTCAAGGATGCCATCCATCCATCTTGCCCTTGGTCAGCCCCTCTTCCTTTTGCCTTCCACTTTCCCCAGCATCATTGTCTTCTCTAGGCTTTGCTGTCTCCTCATGATGTGGCCAAAGTACTTCAACTTTGTCTCTAGTCTCCTTCCCTCCAATGAGCAGTCGGGCTTTATTTCCTGGAGGATGGACTGGTTGGATCTTCTCGCAGTCCAAGGCACTCTCAGAACTTTCCTCCAACACCACAGCTCAAAAGCATCTCTCTTCCTTCGCTCAGCCTTCCCTAAGGTCCAGCTCTCACATCCGTAGGTGACTACAGGGAATACCATGGCTTTGACTAGGCAATGGATCTTGGTTGCCAGTGTGATGTCTCTACTCTTTACTATTTTATCGAGACTGGACATTGCTCTCCTCCCAAGAAGGAAGCGTCTTCTGATTTCCTGGCCACAGTCTGCATCTGCAGTAATCTTTGCACCTAGAAATACAAAGTCTGTCACGGCCTCCACATTTTCTCCCTCTATTTCCCAGTTGTCAATCATTCTTGTTGCCATAATCTTGGTTTTTTTGATGTTTAGCTGCAACCCGGCTTTTGCACTTTCTTCTTTCACCTTGATTAGAAGGCTCCTCAGCTCCTCCTCGCTTTCGGCCATCAGAGTGGTGTCATCTGCATATCTGAGGTTGTTAATGTTTCTTCCAGCAATTTTCACCCCAGCCTTGCATTCATCCAGCCCCGCACATCCTCGCATGATGTGTTCTGCATACAAGTTAAAAAGGTTGGGTGAGAGTATGCAGCCTTGCCGTACGCCTTTCCCAATCTTGAACCAGTCTGTTGTTCCGTGTCAGTTCTGACTGTTGCTACTTGGTCCTTGTACAGATTCCTCAGGAGAGAGACAAGGTGGCTTGGTATGCCTATCCCACGAACAACAATTTTAACAAATATAAACTTATTAGTATTTCAATGGGAAGTGTGGGCCTGCTTTTGGCTGATGAGATAGGATTGTTGTTGTTGTTGTGTGTTTTCAAGTCATTTCAGACTTAGGTTGACCCTGAGCGAGGGTCGAGTAAATGACCTTGGAGGGTCGTATCCAGCCCTTGGGCCTTAGTTTGAGGAACCTTGGATTATTCTTCATCTAGGGACTATATTTTTCTTTACCATTTTTATTGCTTTGCCTACATTTATTCTTCAATAAACTGCTTGCTGATTTTACCAAGCTGGTGTGGTGTTTAAGGTCAGAGGTGTTCCTGCTCTGGAGTACAACAGAGGCCTTCAGCCTTCTCTATCAAAACACTTGAGTCCTCTGCTGACTTCCATTAGTGCTTTGCCCTTCCCAGTTGATTCAATCAAAAGGAAACTGCTGTATCCTTTCCCAACTTGTCTGTTCTCACCCACTAATACAAAAAAGATAGTTATGGGCATTACCTGGGCCAAAAAAAAAGCATTCAACTGAGGATTCGACACTCTGAAGAACATCTCATTTGCACTCTTCTCCCGATCCGCAATGCGCTTCTGCGTCTTGATGCAAAAACACAAACTGCAACACACATAATGTAAAAGCATATTAATGGAGGGAGAAAGAGTCGGAAAACCGGTTGAGAAACAACATAATCAACATAATAAACAACATAATAACACCTCTCAACAAAAGATTTTCCCAGGCTCAGCCAGGCCTTCAAATGCTAATGAAGGTGGTCAGTTGAAACATTCACACCTAGCTCCAGCAGAGAAGAGCTCCTTGCCCCACCCCAGTCATTCCACAGATATATAAAACCATTGTCCTAATTCCAACAGACCTCACTACCTCTGAGGATGCTTGCCACAGATGCAGGCGAAACGTCAGGAGAAATGCCTCTAGAACATGGCCCTATAGCCTGAAAAAACCCACAAGAACCTAGTGATTCCAGCCATGAAAGCCTTCGACAATACATTGAACATAATCTCTGTTGTCTTATCAACAGTCTTGCAAAAGTAGATCAGTTATGGTTCACATCAAATGCAGGCTGAAACAGCATTGTAGAATTGCTTTCCCCTTGACATTAATTCTAGTTGTGTCCAACTCTGGGGGGCGGAGCTCATCTCCATTTCTAAGCCGAAGAGCCAGCGTTGTCCATAGACGCCTCCAAGGTCATGTGGCCGGCATGACTGCATGGAGCACTGTCACCTTCCCGCAGAAGCGGTACCTATCAATCTACTCACATTTGCATGTTTTTGAACTGCTGGGTTGAAAGAAGCTGGGGCTAACAGCAGGAGCTCATCCCTTCCTCTGATTCGAACTAAACGGTTCTGGCCCAACTTACCTGTCCAAACGCATCTCCTCCTATGAACCAGCTAGGGTGTTAAGATCGTCTGGGGAGGCCCTGCTCTCGGTCCCGCCTGCGTCACTAGTACGTTTGGCGGGGACGAGGGACAGGGCCTTCTCAGTGGTGGCCCCTCGGCTGTGGAACGCAGATTCCTAGAGATATTAGATTGGCCTCCTCCCTGTTGACATTTCAGAGGAAAGTGAAGACCTGGTTGTTTGAGTAGGCATTGGAATAGGCAGTGTAACAAACATAGGAATATGGAAAAATTGGATGATGAGACTGGATCGTGATTTTAACTATTGAGACGGTAATGAGATGTTTTACTGACTTATATTGACTGTTTATTATGCTATTGTTTTAATTGTTTTTAACTGTTTTATGATGTTTTTGAGCATTGAATGTTGCTGTTGTTAACCGCTCTGAGTCGCCCCAGGGCTGAGAAGAGCGGCATTCAAATATAGTGGTATTCAAATATAGTAAATAAATAAACTGCTGACTTTTTGGTCAGCAAGTTCAGCAGCTCAGCGGTTTAACCCGCTGCACCACCAGGGGCTCCAGAATTGCTAATAGCAGGATGAATAATAATAATAATAATAATAATAGTAATATTAATAAACATTACCGAGGATAAGTTAGCCTCCATGTCATTCATACTCCATTCACTTGCAGATATAGTGGGGCTGAAGACCTGGATGGAGAAACAAAACACGCTTTTGTACAAAATGTATAGCAATTCAAGACCAACACAGAGAGATTTGTTTCCATTCCACCTCTTACCCCACAAATACGTAAATACCGTATACACCTGAGTGTAAGCCAACCCAAATATAAAATGAGGCACGTAATTTTACTACAAAAACTGGGAAAACGTATTGACTCGAGTATAAGCCGAGGGAAAGGAAGGAAAGAAGGGTAGAGAAGGAAGGAGACAAAGAGGGAGAGAAAGAAGGAGAAAAGAAGAGAAAGAAGGGGGGAAGGAGAGAAGGAAGGAAAGAAGGGTAGAGAAGGAAGGAAGGAGATAAGGAGGGAGAGAAAGGGAGAAGGAGGGAGAAAGAAGGGTAGAGAAGGAAGAGAAGGGAGAGAAAGAAGAGAAGAAGTAGGGAAGGGAAGGAAGGAAAGAAGGATAGAGAAGGAAGGAAGGAGAGAAAAGGAGAAAGAAAGAGGGAGGGAAGGAAGGAAAGAAGGGTAGAGAATGAAGGAAGGAGACAAGGAGGGAGAGAAGAAGAGAAAGAAGTAGGGAAGGGGAGAAGGAAGGAAAGAAGGGTAGAGAAGGAAGGAAGGAGACAAGGAGGGAGAGAAAGAGGGAAAGAAGGAGAGAAGGAAAGAAAGATGGAAGGAAGGAAAAAAGGAAGGAGGGAAGGAGAGACGGAAGGAAAGAAGGGTAGAGAAGGAAGGAAGGAGAGAAAAGGAGAAAGAAAGAGGGAGGGAAGGAAGGAAAGAAGGGTAGAGAATGAAGGAAGGAGACAAGGAGGGAGAGAAGAAGAGAAAGAAGTAGGGAAGGGGAGAAGGAAGGAAAGAAGGGTAGAGAAGGAAGGAAGGAGACAAGGAGGGAGAGAAAGAGGGAAAGAAGGAGAGAAGGAAAGAAAGATGGAAGGAAGGAAAAAAGGAAGGAGGGAAGGAGAGACGGAAGGAAAGAAGGGTAGAGAAGGAAGGAAGGAGAGAAAAGGAGAAAGAAAGAGGGAGGGAAGGAAGGAAAGAAGGGTAGAGAATGAAGGAAGGAGACAAGGAGGGAGAGAAGAAGAGAAAGAAGTAGGGAAGGGGAGAAGGAAGGAAAGAAGGATAGAGAAGGAAGGAAGGAGAGAAAAGGAGAAAGAAAGAGGGAGGGAAGGAAGGAAAGAAGGGTAGAGAATGAAGGAAGGAGACAAGGAGGGAGAGAAGAAGAGAAAGAAGTAGGGAAGGGGAGAAGGAAGGAAAGAAGGGTAGAGAAGGAAGGAAGGAGACAAGGAGGGAGAGAAAGAGGGAAAGAAGGAGAGAAGGAAAGAAAGATGGAAGGAAGGAAAAAAGGAAGGAGTATATGACAGAAGTGAAAGCTTTAAAGAATGAAGTAATTAAAATTATGCAGATAAAAAGTGAAAGTATTGATGACAGGAGAGATGAACTAAAGAGATAAAATAGAGTTTAATGAAGGAAAGAGAATAAGGAATGGAACCAAAGAGCAAAGGAAGAGAAAAGAAACAAGTAGAGAAGGAAAAAAAAAGAAAGAAAAGAAAAAGAGGAAGGAAGGAAGGAGAGAAAGAAAGAAGGAGAGAAAGAGGGAGGGAAGGTTGGCCACAGCAATGCATGGCAGGGGATGGCTAGTAACAACAATAATAAAGTAAAATAACAATGTAATAATAATAAAATGATATAATAATAATAATAATAATAATAATAATAATAATAATAATAGTAAAATAATACATGTAATTAGGCCTGTTTGATCAAGAAAAAATTTGTTTCTAAAATCGATTTGTAATTGGGGTGTTTTTTTGTTTCGATATTTAAAATAATTACAAAACTTTCCAAAAAAAGTTTTGGTATTTAAGAAATTTTGTAAATATTAACGAATTTTTAGAATATTTTTTGTATTTCTTAAGAATAATATTAAAATAATATTAAAAAATATTTTAAAATGGAAAATTAACCAAAAAATGGCCCAAATGTGGACCAAACACAGGCAGGAGACAGCAAATGAGAGCACACACCAACAGAAGAGTCTTTTCTTTTTTAGAATATTTTTTAAAAATAATATTAAAATAATATTAAAAAATAATATTAAAATAATATTAAAAAATATTTTAAAATGGAAAATTAACCAAAAAATGGCCCAAATGTGGACCAAACACAGGCACAATACAGCAAATGAGAGCACACACCAACAGAAGAGTCTTTTCTTTTTTAGAATATTTTTTAAGAATAATATTAAAAAATATTAAAAAATAATATTAAAAATAATATTAAAAATAATATTAAAAAATATTTTAAAATGGAAAATTAACCAAAAAATGCCCCAAATGTGGACCAAACACAGGCAGAGACAGCAAATGAAGCAAGCAGCACTCACAGCAGCAAGGAATGAATCCAATCCCAGTTGCTAGCAGCCAAGCCAAGCCAATGCAAACTCCCTCGCCCTCTTGAAGCTACGGGCCGCGCGGAGCCGCTTTGAAAGGGCTCGCCGGCCAATCAAAAACAGACAGCCACGGACCCATGGTGCACTGCTTGGGAGCGCCGGATTGGCTCCCAGGCACCAGCACTCCAGCAGCCTCCACCCCATTAACGAAACGAGCGGAGGCTCGTTAAAACTATGGGGGTTGCTGGTTCGATATTTATAAACCCTTCCGGGTTTGGTAATATGTTTCAATATCGCTTCGGAAATGCCAAAAATAACGAATTAATAACGAATTAACGAATTAACGAACGAAACTGCACAGGCCTACATGTAATAAAAACAATAATAACAGAGTACAATAATAAATAACCTTGACTCGAGCATAAGCCGAGAGGAACATTTTCAGCCTATAAAAGGGCCTGAAAAACTAGGCTTATATAGTATATACAGTAGTTCTATAGACAGGATTCTGAACCAATATGGTTTTGCTTATCCAGATGGAAACAAACCATTTAAACTAATCATTTAAAAATACCTTCAATTGGTTTCAAAAGGCAATGGAAGCATTTTCTGTCTATACAAACACCTGGGTCAACTTATCCCCCAGGCCAGACTTACGTCCAAAGTGCTGGGATTGTCCAGGTTGTACGGCTGGTTCCTGAGCAGGATCTGGAGGCCTTCCAGGTTCAAATCAGCGCCGTCCAAAGAGTTAGACATGTCTGCTCTGTGAAGACACCACGGGATGGAGATCCCTCAATATACACCATCACAGCAATTCTAGGGTTTGACATGGCATTTCATACATAGAGTTGGAAGAGACCTCATGGGCCATCCAGTCCAACTTCCTGCCAAGAAGCAGGACAATCACATTCGAAGCACTCCCAACAGATAGTCATCCAGCCTCTGTTTCAAAGACTTCAAAGAAGGAGCCTCCACCACACTTCAGGGCAGAGAGTTCCACTGCTGAACAGCTCTCACAGTCAGGAAGTTCTTCCTAATGTTCAGATGGAATCTCCTTTCTTGTAGTTTGAAGCTATTGCTCCGCATCCTAGTCTCCAGGGAAGCAGAAAACAAGGTTGCTCCCGCCTCCCTATGACTTCCTCTCACATACTTATACATGGCTATCATGTCTCCTCTCACGTTTTCTCTTCTGCATTCTAAACATGCCCAGCTCTTTAAGCCGCTCCTCATAGGTCTTGTTCTCCAGACCCTTGATCATTTTGGTCGCCCTCCTCTGGACACTTTCCAGCATGTCAATATCTCTCTACAATTGTGGTGCCCAAAATTGGACACAGTATTCCAGATGTGGTCTGACCACGGCAGAATAGAAGGGTAGCATGACTTCCCTGCATCTAGACACTATTTATTTATTTACTTATTTATTTACTAGCTGTGGCCAACCTTCCCTTTCTCTTTCTCTCCTCCTTTCTTTCTCTCCTTCTTTCCTCCCCCTTTTTGCTTCCTTCCTTCCCTTTTTTTCCTTTCATTTTCTCTTTCCTTCCTTCTGTTCCTCTTCCCTTCCTTCCCTTTTATTTCCCTTCCTCTTTCTCCCCTTTCTTCCTTCTCTACTTATTCTTGGACTGCAACTCCCAGCAGTCTAATAATAATAATAATAATAATAATAATAATAATAATAATACTTTATTTGCACCCCGCTACCATCTCCTCAAGGGACTCGGTGCGGCTTACATGAGGCCGAGCACAAACACAACAATACATGCAATAAACAATCAATAAAATACAAATCATATAAATAACATAACAAAACATTATTATTATTNTTATTATTATTATTATTATTATTATTATTATTATTAAACTTTATTTGTACCCCGCTAGCATCTCCCGAAGGATTCGATGCGGCTTACATAGGCCGAGGCCTCAACACACAAGATAACAATACAATCTAAGCAAATAAAACAATTAAAAACAGAATAAGCAAAATGAACAACAAGCAATAAACAATACACTAAAACACAATAAAACTGGGCCGGGCCGGAGTAATGGGTACAAGAATTAAAAGTGCTGATGTGACAGGAGGTGTATATGAGGCTTCTAGGGCAAGTGCGATGTGCGATGTGCAGCAATCATTGGTCCTAGTAAAGTGCTTATGGGACTTGGTAGTGGAGATTTCCTAATCTGGGAAGGCGCATCGGAAAAGCCAGGTCTTCAAGTTCTTTCTGAAGACTGCCAATGTAGGGGCCTGTCTAAGATCTTTGGGGAGGGTGTTCCAGAGTCGGGGGGCCACCACGGAAAAGGCCCTGTCCCGCGTCCCCACCAAGCGCTTGCGACGCCGGTGGGATCACGAGCAGGGCCTCTCCAGATGACCGAAGTGAACGTGTGGGTTCGTAGATGGAAATGCGGTCACGCAGGTAAGCTGGTCCCAAACCGTTCAGGGCTTTGTAGGTAAGCACCTGCACCTTAAATTGGGCTCGGAATATAAACGGCAGCCAGTGGAGCTCCTTGAACAGGAGGGTTGACCTCTCTCTGTAAGGGGCCCCAGTTAGCATCCTGGCTGCTGCTCGTTGGACCAGTTGGAACTTCCGAGCCGTCTTCAAGGGCAGCCCCACGTAGAGCGCATTGCAGTAGTCCAATCTGGAGGTGACCAAGGCATGGACCACCCCGGCCAGATCAGCCTTCACGAGGTACAGTCGCAGTTGGCGCACGAGTCTCAATTGTGCGAAAGCCCTCCCAGACACCGCCGACGCCTGAGCCTCAAGCGTAAGCGATGAATCCAAGAGGACTCCCAAACTGCGGACCTGTGGCTTCAGGGGGAGTGTAACCCCGTCCAGCACAGATTGCCACCCTATACCCCGGTCAGGTTTACGATCGACCTGCAGGGGACTCAGGGCAGATTACAATGTACATATACATGGCAAACATTCAATGCCATAGACACACAACATATATAGACAGACACTCAGAGGCTACTTAACATTCCAACTTCTCATGAGGATATTCTGGCCACCAGAGGAGCTGTCGCTTCACCGTCCATTTGCGACACTGATGAAGTACTTCCTCATTCTTTGCAGGCTTGCTGCAGATTTTTATGGCATCATTAATTAGTTAAATTAGCCTCACTGCATAGGCAGTACCTAAATTTCCTACTTGACAGATGTAACTGTCTTTCAGGCTGCAAAGGTCAACAGCAAGCTACACAAATTGGTCGGAAACTCACTCCGACCCGGGCTGGCTTCAAATTCATGACTTTTCAGTCAGTAGTGATCTTAATGCAGCTGACTCCAAGCCAGCTGCGCCACAATCCCAGTGCTAATAATAATAATAATAATAATAATAATAATAATAATAAATTATGTTGTTGGGCTTGGCTTCATGTAAGCTGCCCCGAGTCCCCTTGGGGAGATGGTGGCAGGATATAAATAAAGTATTATTATTATTATTATTATTATTATTATTATTATTATCAACATCTCCCTTCAATTGTGGTGCCCAAAATTGGACACGTGGTCTGACCAAGGCAGAATAAAGGGGGAGCATGACTTCCCTGGATCTAGACACTAGATTCCTATTGATGCTGGCCAAAATCCCATTGGCTTTTTAGCTACAGCATCACATTATTTGGCTCATGTTTAACTTTTTGTCCATTATGGACTCCAAGATTTTTTTCACATGTACAGCTTTCGAGGCAGTTAATATCTCCCAGGCAGGAATCAGCCAGGCTTTGAAGCTGCAAGGCCATTCAATGCTAATCAAGCTGGCCAATTCCAACATTCACACCTGCCTCAAGCAGAGAAGAGTTTTTTCTCCCACCCTGGACATTATTCCACAGATATATAATCCTGGCTTGCCTAGTTTCCAACAAACCTCACAACCTCTGATGATGTCTGCCATAGATGTGGGTGAAACGTCAGGAGAGAATGCTTCTGGAACATGGTCATACGGCCCAGAAAACCCAGAGCAACCCAATGATTCTGGCCATGAAAGCCTTCGACAACGCATTGTTGGATTGCTCACCTTTCTTCATCCGAAGGAGGCTGCATGACTGCGGCATTCGCTTGCGATGCTTCCGTAACGTCCGAGATGATGGGTCCTCCAGCGACAGAAGGGCTGCTGTTCAAGCAGGAAGCGGGTTCTGCAGATGGCTGGAGGAAGGCATGGCGGGAAAGATGGATTTTTAGAGTTTTGTGAGTTGAATTTGAGAACATAATATAACACAATTTTTGTTACTGGGTTATCAATGTCATTTCCTAATTGGTTCTATCATAAAAACATTGGAAAAGTTTATTAGACTGCAAAAAAAAAATATTATTTTTTTGCAGGAGATCCTGCAGCACATTTTGCTCTAGTTTTTCAATGAATATCTCATTGAGTCTCAACCAATTCCATAGAGTTTGTGGCAGGGACAAAAATGAAGTTTCTGGAGTAGAACAACTACTTTCAAAATAAGGACTACACAAATAAACAGGAAATAACTCTTTCAAACCAGGAACAGGACTTTTTTTCCAAATTTTGTTACACAATGTAATCTAATGATTATATTAATGGACTTCTATTATTATTATTATTATTATTATTATTATTATTATTATTATATTGATTATTACTACTACTATTACTAGCTGTACCCGCCACGCGTTGCTGTGGCCAGTCTTTCCTCCCTCTTTCTCTCCTTCTTTCATTCCTTCTTTCATTCCCTTTTCTTTTTTCCCTCTTTCCTTTCTTCCTTCTCTATCTCTTTCCTTCCCTCTCCCTTTTTTCTTTTCCTTCCTTTTTCTCTCCTTTTCTCCTTCTGTACCTCTGTCCTCCCTTTCTTAGTTTTTGCTTCCATCCTTCCTTCTCTTTCTTTCTTACTTTCCCTCCCTCTTCCTCTCCTTCTTCTCCTCCTTCCTTCTTTCCCTCTTTCCTTCCTTCATTCCCTTTTCTTCTTTTCTTCTTTCCTTCTTTCTTCCTCTTTCTCCTTCCTTCCCTCCCTTTTTCTTTTCCTTCCTCTTCTCTCCTTTTTTCCTTCTTACCTCTTTCCTTCCTTCCTCTTTCTTCCATCCTTCTTCTCTTCTTTCTTTCTTTCTTTCTTTCTTTCTTTCTTTCTTTCTTTCTCTTCTCTTCTTTTTCTCTTTCTTTCTCTCCCTTTCTCTCCTTCTTTCTCTTCTTCCTTCACTCCCTCTTTCCTCCCTTCCCTTTTTTCTTTCTTTCTCTCCTCCCTTCCTTCTCTACCTCTTTCCTTCCTCCTCCCTTCTTCTTTTCCTTCCTCTTTCTCTCCTTTCTTCCTTCTGCACCTCTTTCCTTCCTTCCTTCGCTCTTTGCTTCCATGCTTCCTTCTCTCTTACCTTCTTTCTTTCTTTCTTTCTTTCTTTCTTTCTTTCTTCCCTCTTTCTTTCCCTCCCTTTCTCCTTCTTTCTTTCTTCCTTCCTCCCTCTTTCTCCTTCCCTTTTCTTTCTTTCCTTCCTCCTTCTCTCTCTTCCCTCTTTCCTTCCTCCTCCCTTCTTCTTTCCTTCCTCTTTCTCTCCTTTCTTCCTTCTCCTCTTTCTTCCTTCTTCCTTTCTTCCTTCCTTCTCTCTTCCTTTTTCTTCTTTCTTTCTTTCTTTCCCTCCTCCTCTTTCTTTTTTTCTTCTTTCTTTCTCTTCTTTCTTCCCTCCTCTTTCCTTCCCTTCTTTCCTTCTCCTTCCTCTCTCCCTCCTTTTTTCTTTCTTTCTCCCTCCTTCTTTACCCTCTTCCTTCCTCTTTCTTCTTTTCCTTACTCTTTCTCTCCTTTCTTCCTTCTGCACCTCTTTCCTTCTCCTTCGCTCTTTGCTTCCATTCTCTCTCCTTCTTTCTTTCTTTTTCTTTCTTTCTTTCTTTCTTTCTTTCTTTCTTTCCCTCCCTCTTTCTTTTTTTCTTTCTTTCTTTCTCTTTCTTTCCTTCCCTCCCTCTTTCTCTCCTTCTTTCTCTTCTTCCTTCACTCCCTCTTTCCTCCCTTCCCTTTTTTCTTTCTTTCTCTCCTCCCTTCCTTCTCTACCTCTTTCCTTCCTCCTCCCTTCTTCTTTTCCTTCCTCTTTCTCTCCTTTCTTCCTTCTGCACCTCTTTCCTTCCTTCCTTCGCTCTTTGCTTCCATGCTTCCTTCTCT